ATAGTGGAGGTAACGGCTTGGTCCCAGAGTTTTTCCCAGGTGCGTTTCTCCGTCGTCGTATTGGTGTTCTTTATTTACTTCTTTCATATTTATTGTTTATTATACAAACTGCAGTATTCAAAAATAGGATAATTTGAATTGTTCAACTAATCACCTAAGCATAATTAACTTATGACTTGTTGCTTGTTAATTAAAGTTTTAATTCCGCATTTACACCTAATCACCCCCTCTAGGTGTAGTAGGGTCGAATCTTGCATTTCTCAAACTGAACTCATTCCATGGGGATGATCTTTCTTATGAATCAAATATCAAAACTGATTATGTAACAATAACTGATTTTGCAAATCATCTCCAAAAACATGATTTGACCAAGGGAATGATCTCTCCTTTTAACCAAGTATCAATAGCAAACACTGAACAACAACTATAGTGCAACGAATCCTAAAACAATTGGCTGTGCATAATGAGGAGAATCGGGAACTAGTACTATAGACTGGCCTACAAAAATAAATGATTGCAACATAGAAAGTTCGAATGAACCCTAAAAAGGAAACAATTATGCACATTCAAATGTGATGATGAATCAAATATTTTATCTTTATACAAATTATCCAAAACTCTTTTCTTAACATGTTTAAGAAAATCGAGTAAAAAACACGTAATAAAGCATAATAATCACTATTAAAGTCTTCGAGCTTACATTGCGAATCAAAAGTAAGCTGAAAAAAATTTCATGATTGAAAATAATTTATTTTTATCTGGGTATGAAATTTAGGAACATTAACAAAAGGAGAAGCTAATACAATATGTCGATAATTAGTAGGCAACTACCAAATATCGTAACGAAGAGTATGTAAGCGAACAATTACCTTAGATAAAAATATGGCAGCTCTGGGAGTATCAATCAGTTGACGTAACATCAGAACAAGATCATTCTTAAAGGCACACAAAGGAGTAGACATTGTTTGTCTTAGGTAGCAATACTATATGTAATTCCCCAATTATGTGAATATTAAGTGTGTTGATTATTTGTGAAATCACGATAGGAGACACGACACTGCTCAAACCTCTCATCCTCTATGCAAATGAGATACCTCTTGGTTTTTCTTTTTCACACTATCCAAAAGAAAGGTAATCAAGTCCAGAAAGAAGGTGTCATTTTCGTCCAATAAGGGTCATAATTGTCTCGATGAATGTGAATATATTCCCTCGATGAGTTTCCCTCAGGACTAAAAGAAAATGTTGAAACATGTCAATTAACATATGCTCACAGTTTAAATTCAACATGATGATACAGTACTTCACATTAGCCATAAGTACACTAACTCCCTTAGCAAACAAGAGGATGGATTTGTCATTGAGAAATGCAAATGATCATATAATTAATGGAAAGATATCCAGCATTATGGCATTACCATAAAGACTATCTAGTTCCGTAATACAGAACATTTTGCTAAGATAAGCAGCAAGTGTTATTTGTATAGCAATATTTGGATGTTTTAGTAGCTTATCGAAGACCAATGCTGTGATAAGAGTAGAAAGAGATATGATCATGAAATATAGCAGATGATTCGTTCACTTGTGAGAGCAAATCCTCCGTTTGTTCAAACAAAGATAGGATTTCATTAAAAGAGAACAAAGGTCGAAGTTTTTTTTTTTTTTTTTTCAACAATTGAACTCCTAAACTTTGATAGTGCCATAACTTTTTTTAATATATGAAAATAATATAAGTATAAATACCTTTTTTATATATTAATATAAATAAGCCAAAACACCTAAATAAAAGCAAGAATTTGCAACACAAGAGAAATTGATACCTAACGAGTCAAAAGAGCCAAACAGCATCCAAGTCATTATTTGAAAGTTGGCACAGCTACGATGAAAGAGCACACAGGTAACGATAGACCGCTCCAATTGAATTCTTCTAAGGGTTGATTAAATCACAGGAAAACAAATCATAGATACTACAACGGTAACCAATACTTCTTTTAAATGTTTCAAATCGAAACCTCAAGCCAATTTACAAATCTGATGAGTCTGCCTGCTTCTCTCATACAACACTATTCAATATGGGATTTCGGAATTGACGTTAAAGCTGGAGAATCACTCAATGTTCAACCGTAATTGGGCTTTTGTTGGTGATACGACTGCAAGAGGGACTCCGATGGTGGTGTATGACGGCAAGTAGTTGGGCAATGGTTGCATGAGGTGGCAATGGGAGATTACGCTGTAGAAAAGGGACAATCGATTGAAGTCTTCGGTTCTACGTTGGCAAAACACAGGTTTAGTTTATAAGAGACGATCGGGTTTGGGATGGTGGAGAGGCGAAGGAGATGATAGATCTATAGGTTGTCGACACTGGATGGTTGGTCGATTAGTAAGGATGGGTGAGAAATATATGTTGTCTGAATGCACTAGTGGGAGAAGATGAGGCGAACAATGGGATTTGATGATGACAAATGTGTTAGAGGTGGCAATGGGCTGATCTGGTAGATGGCGACGGGGTGAACTGACTAGAAGATGAAGGTAGCGTGCAGAACTTGTAGGTAGTGATCTTCTCACACTGCAAAAAAATGAGTCATGAGATCGATCGATGTTAGAGGAGGTTGCCGATGGTGGAACTGGGCAATTTAGTAGTCAGTGGTGGAACTAGGGAAGTCGAAAGGTGTGGTTGTTGGGGCTATTGGTGGCAGAGGCTTGGAATTGAGTGAATACTGTTGGTGGAGACAGCAAGTTTGTGGTGGTTGTGTGGAGATGCCAACCAGATTTGTAGTGGCTGTTGAGCGAACAAGTGGAATCGTCGATGACTAGAGAAAATAGCGATCAGCTATGATGTTGAATGGTGGATGGGTAGGTTAGGTTTGAGATGTGACAGCTTTCAACGATGCCTGCTAATGTCGAAATTTAATGCAACGACTGATGGACAGTGTGTGGTGTTGATTGAGGTTTGGCAACGAGATGTTTGCCTAGAGTCTAGAGATGAAGGGATGTGGGAAGGTAGTGGGCATATGGGTAGTCTTGCGGTTGAGGGTTTTTTTTTTTTTTTT